GGAAACTAATCAAGGAGAGAAGCAACCTAGAACTAAGGAGAAACTTCCTGACAGTGAGAACAATTAATCAGTGGAACAGCCTGCCTCCAGAAGCAGTAAATGCTCCAACACTGGAAGTTTTTAAGAAGAGACTGGACAGCCATTTGTCCGAAATGGTGTAGGGTTTCCTGCCTGAGCAGGGGGTTGGACTAGATGACCTCCAAGACCCCTTCCAATTTTACTACTACTACTACTACTACTACTACTACTACTACTACTACTACTACTATTATTATACGTCGAGTTGTCTTATATGCCCAAAATAATGGTAGTTTCCGGCATATAAGATGACTTTCTAGGCATGTGACTTGGCGCCGAAGACGGGGGTCGTCTTATACACTGGGTCGCCTTATACGCCGGAATATACAGTAGGCTAAATGGCTTGTTATAAATTATTACAGTTCTATCTCCTGGTATGGCCATATGTATTGTTTTAAATTGTACATTTTGCCTGTTTTGACCTTTGTAAGTCATCCATTGTCACAGAAATTAAAAGTATACATTAATTTTACCATGCAGTATTAGCTCTTTAGCAGAGTGCCAAGGATTTGGAAACCCAAACAGACCTGGCTGCCATGTCAAAATATGGGCTTTGGGGCAGTGACTCACCATTTTTCAAGGTGGCTAGGTACCCAAAACAAATAAAAAGTTCTCAATTGTTGGATGATTTAATGTCCATCCAGCAGCTGTTTTTGAAAGGAAATTACGAGGTCTCCAATCAAAGACTTGTGGTGAAGGATTGCATAAAATTTAACCCATTTTTTTATCAAAAGGTTTTGTGATTACTTACTTAATTTTATTGCAGCCATTAACCAGTATGCATTAATAACCCCATCAAATCAGACTTCCAGATTACCCAGATCTGTTTTATTTGTTATTGTCTGATTGTGATTTTATTTCTCTTAACATGGTTATATTTTGTTTTTGTAAAATTGTATTTTGATTGCATCATTTATCATTATTAAGTTTCAGTATTGTTATGATTTGCTACCTCCAAATTTTCTTTTCATTTTGAATTGGTCAGGTATCATAATAAAGTTTACTTTTACTAAATTATAAACACGTATTTTTTTCTGCCCTGGGATTGCTAGAGGATGGGGGAACAACTGATCCTTCCATCTTTTGCTTATTTAAATTTTGAGGTCTCCTGTCCTCAGCAACTCTGTGATGGGGAGAGACAGGTAAAAGAAAAAAAGTATAGCAGAGAAAATGAACACAGCTATCTGGAAGAGAGAATCAAAACCAAAAGGGGCTCAGCCCATATCCTTACTCAAGACCTGGGAGAAGAACCAAATGTTGAGCAATTGGCAGAAAGTCAAAAGGATGGGAACAGTATGGATCTCCAGGGGGGAGATCATTCCACAGGGTAGGAGCCATCACCACGAAGGCCTGTGTCCTGTACAATGTCATTGCTTAAATATCTGAGGGCAGGACAAGAAGGAATGCGTGGAAAATAATTAAAGAGAGATCCAACCTAGAACTAAGGAGAAATTCATCAGTGGAACAGCTTACCACCCGAAGTTGTGGGTGCTCCATCACTGGAGGTTTTCAAGAAGCCCTTTGTCCAGAATGGTATAGGCTCTCCTGCTTGATCAGGGGGTTAGACTAGAACACCTCCAAGGTCCCTTCCAGTCCTAATATTCTATGTTCTAATTGATGCATGGAGTGTTCGTTCTCTACCTGACTTCACCATTGGGATGGAAATATATGGAGAAAAGAAGTCCCTCAAGAAAAAGATTCAATGCCATGAAGGGCTTCATAGGTATAACCAGCACTTTGAATAGTACCCAGAAATCAACATAGTGGAAACATGTATGCCTATCACAGCCTGCCTGCTACTGTACCTCCTCCTCTCATTTCTTTGCCTTCTTCCCAAGAAAAAGAGATGTAGGTGAGACAGCAGCAGAGACACCTCTCTGCCAATACCATTTGAAAAAGGGCCCTTAAAATTCCTGAACCAACAGGATTTCCTTCTGCTTAAGTTATATAGCTTCTCCCAAAAATGCAGAGTCATCAGCCCAAGTCAAATTTTCTCACCAGATAGCATTAAATCAACTCCTAAAAGCCAGATACATCTTTGCTACACTCTGCTTTCAAATAAAACTATCCAGGCAATAGGCACAAAATGCTGTAATGAAATAGTGGTAATGCTCTGGGCTGTGTAGATGATATATACCCATGTACTTTATGAAGATCAGTTTTATTTTGAAGATCCAGCCATCCAATTTATAAAAGAGTACTTAAGAACTCTGATTGGGTTACCCATAAACTGATGGGCAACAATAACTGTTTTTTTTCTCAAGAAAATCTTTTAAAACCCAGAATCTGAAAATTTTCCTGAAAACCCCCAAAAGGCCTGTGAGAATAAAAAAGCTCTAGAGGAATGAAAAACAAAGAAAAAATAAAAATAGGCATTTTAGGACTTGCCACAATTGACCAGTGCCACCACATTTTTTTTTCATGAAAGTTTTTATTTTCAATTTACAATACATTACAATCTTAAAAATACTTCAGATAAAAAATAAAACAAATTGATACACACCACTTTCGGTATTGCCCACCCATTTCCCCCCAAACCGCATCCACCCCCAACCAACTTGCCTCTTTCCCTCTTCTTCCTCTTCCTCACTCTCTATCGCTCCTCAACCTTCCTACTTACTTCTCACCTTCTTCTACCTTCTCGCTCCAGATGCGGTCCAGGGGAAATGCCTGAGCAATTCCTCTCTCTAAATTGAAACATTAATATTATATACAATAAAACTATTTCTACTTTATCTGAACTACTTAAACTTCAACCCATCCACCCCCCACCCCTCTCCCCCCACCCCCCTCCCCCCGACTTCCCAGAGCAAAGTACAGGATTATACAAACATATTAAACATTTTGATGCTGGCATTTATTTATTGTATTTACATACTGTCAGACGGAACAAAAATGATTCCTTGAGGGGGTTTGCAATGTTTAGCCACTTGCCAAATCTCACCTGGGTTACAGGAATCTCTCCCTCAAGTTATGAAAATATTCTAGCAGAAAGCAAAAATTTGGTGAGAACCATTAAGCTATTTGTTTAGATGAGAGAGCCCTTAAGCGAAACAAGTTTACTCCCAGGGAATTGGGGAGGGGGGGAACTGTGGCCTTAATTGAGGGCATATTGACATATTCAACAACATGCTGTCAGCCAGAATTTGAAAATAGGATGTTGAAATGTGGCACCTGTATTGGCACATTGCCATCTCCATGGCAACTGCTTGCTCTGGAACAAAACCTTGAAATCCACTTGGATTTTCTTTGTCTTCAGATGAAGTTTGTTTCTTTTAGTACATATGTGATCTAAGCTTAATACATCCAGGGTCTGGAAATCTGCAATCAAGAAACTCGAATATATGACTGGCTATACGAAAAATTGTCTTCCTGCCTTTGTTTTTTAATCCCCTTAAGACTGCCAAGGCAGAATTCTGCAGCGATCATAGCACAGAAACAACAACAGATTTCAATCTTTCCTGACAGATTGGCAGAATTCATCCTTATGTAAACATAGTGCTTTTTTTTTTTGTAAAAAAAAAAAGGTGCCAGAACTCACACAAATCATACAACCTGCCTTGCCTACAAGGTTCCATCCAAAGTAAGTGCCGGAACTCCATTTTGGGCGTTCTATGAGAAAAAAAAAGCCCTGTGTAAACCTATCTTGCTACTGTTTTTCCTTTCATGCTTTGCCTCCTTCAGGTGAATCTTAGTGAATGGAAGGGAGCAAAAACAGGCCCAGCAGGCTCCTGGGCTCTGGAAGGCAGTACCAGTAGCTTCAGTCTCATCAAAGAGGCTTACAACCCAATCACTGTTGAAAATCAGTCTCTCCTTTGATTTGGAGGGAGTAATCACTGAAGAGACATAGACCAGACTAAACCTTATTATTGCAGTTTCTACTATTTCCAAGATATCAATTCTTTCCTCCTTCAGTTCACCATGCTCAAATGGTTAAGATTCTTTAACAACTGAAAGTCTGGAAATATTGTTGACTCAACAGTGAACCTCTTCTGAGTTGGTAGCACAACTATGCAAAACTTTAAATGCTCAGCAGTTCTGGATGCAATGTTTTGTCCCTACTTCTTTGTGTTGTTTTTTTCCTAGATCACACCTATTTTTTAAAGATAAAATGTGAGATGCTGCTCAGATAAGTAGCTGTCTTGACACATTCAATTGCTTCTTTTAAACTTTTGCTCAGAAAAAGTACTGGAGAGTTCAGACATCAGGCTGACAGCCCAGAGGGCATGGTCAGACACCTTCTGCAAAGACCTAATTATTTATATAGAGAGAAATGAGACTTGAGATTTAAATAGCTTTTGACACTCTCTTAACTGCTATTTTGCGCGCGCGGGGGGGGGGGGTTTCATTAGCACAGTACTGTAGAACGTGAGAAAGAAGATTTTGTACTGTGAACATTGTGGCTAAGGAAGGTTAGAGCGGCCTTTTGGCTGCGCCGCCAGGAGATGGCGCTGCACATTAAGGAGTCCGACTTTCGGCCGCGCTGTTGTGCCAAGAATTCCGTACCGATGCTACGCTGCGCTAACTTGCCATTCTACTTCAATGAGCCCGTTCGATTTTCTTCCCGATGCAGGTTGTTACAAATGGTCAAGGTCCATCCATACTCTCCATGGCGTATAGTCGCCACCATTGCAATGTAAATGCAATGATGCAAGCTGCTTACACGTTTGAAAATGTAATTTCTCCAAGCCACAAAAATGCTTAAAGTGCTGCTGGCTGTCAACAGCCACCTGCCGTGAAGCAGGATTCTTCCGCCGGGCATGCACCTAATGCAGAGCCGCAAGTCGGAGCGCAACACTGGTAGAGAAGAGCGCTGGTGTGTGTGTGTGTGTGTGTGTGTGTGTGTGTGTGTGTGTGTGTGTGTGTGTGTGTGTGTGTGTGTGTGTGTGTGCACGCGCGCGCGCTCGCCAACACCTTCTCCCCCTCCCTCCTGCTCGTTGCTACTGTTGCCATCGCCTCCCCCAGCGACCACCTGCAGGTTTCCGCCCGGCTGAAGGCCCGCACGAAAGCTCCAACCGCCGCGCCGCGCCGCGCCGCGCCCAGCCGCCTCCTGTATCGCCGGGGCTGCTTTGTGGCGACTTTCCCCCGCCGGGCTGCTCGGCTGCGGGGCCCGCCCAGCGCGGAGGCTGCTCGTTGGGTCGGGGAGCGAGAAAAGCCAGACCGCGGCGAGGCGAGGGTGGCGCTGCGACGGCTGGGCGTGGAGTAAAGGGGCGAGGGGGCCGGGCCGGAGCGGCTGAAGGGAGGAGGTGTGTCCCAGGGGCTGGCAGCGGCGGCGCAGGCGGCGTCTTCGCTCCTCGGTTGCAGGTTTTGTCTGCAGCTTTCCATCTCCGCAGTTTCTGGGATTCGCCGGAGCAGTTGTCTCGGGTAAGGGCTCCCTCCCGGAGCATCCTCGGTCCCTCAGAGCTGAGCTCCGGACGCGTCAAGCCTCCTTGCCCCGCCGGGCAGAAACCCAGACAGGGTTTCTCCCTCTCCCTCCACCCCGCCGTCCCCATATTCTCTCTGTTGCCCTTCTCCGCCTGCCCGCCTTTCCTGGGCTAGTATTTCGCCTGTACGCCTTCTGGGCTGGGTCAGTGCCCGGGTAGGGGAAACCGCCTTTCCTAGTGGGCTAACCCCCGGTTGGAAGGGGCAAGCCCCAGCCATTTCCCCTTGGCCTTGGCGGCGGCGGCGGCGTTCTTTGAGGGAACCTGTTCGGGCTGGGTCCGGGGTGGCGGCTGGCAGCGGCCGCTTTCTTTCGATGGCCGAGGACAAATCCTGCCTCCTTTGGAGAAGGTGGAAGGCGATAAGGGAGGACCAGTCGAGGATTGGTCCTAAGCAGAAGGTCGCGCTGCTGGCCCAAGGATTTTGAGCCGCCTTGGGAAAACGTGATTTGAAAAGCAAATAAATAAGGTTTTTTTTTTCCCCACTTCTAACCGGAGGGGAGACGCTGAATTTGGGGTGGTGCCTTTGAAATGTGTGTGCACGTGTTCCGTTGTGAAGAGGAAAGAACAAAAGAGCCCCGACACCTCTTCTCCCCACCTTGTAACTGTTTAAGGTTTCCTAAGCTAGCAAAATTTGGTTGCCAGTGATTTTTTTTCAGCAGACACGATGTCTTTTTGAAAAAGGCTTTTCTCCCCTTCTTGTGAAAGGGCGATGCAGTTATGCAGTAGCAGCATCTCTTTCTCTGACTACCCTTCTTTTGTTTAAGGACAGAAATCTCAAGAAAATGGGGAGAAGGGAGGGGAAGGGAGCAATTTTTCAGTAAGTCCCACCCTTCATTGCCCCAGCTGAGAAAGCCTGACAGTTTTTTAGTGAGGCTTTGTTGAATCTGTACAATTTTGATCAACTGAGAAAGAACAGCAATGGGAAGATTTCCAACTGCAGTCTCCAACTCTTAAGGAAACATGCTTTGAAGGTGACTGATAACCTTCATCTCCCCCTCCCCATCTTGAAAAGAGATTAAGTTTAATTTTGTTGATTAGGGTATCAGTGAGCCTGGGATACAAATGCTCTTAGGACTGTAATTCTTAACCACTAGCAAATAGCTCTGGAAAATTGAAAGATTTTTCCGAGGAAGGATTGGGGACAAGCAAGCAAATGGAAGAGACCACCCCTTCTTCCCCCAATTTTTCCTTCTATTGAAAAGATGAGCTATAGAAAAGGGGATAGCTGATAACCACAGTGAGGCAGTGGAGAACAAAGCTCTGATGGAAGTGAAACAGTGTGCAAAATGTTCTTGCCTAACTAAGTGCAGATAAAGAGTGCAAAAATCCTTTGCTAGAGCGGCTGTCTGGTGCAGCCTTTTGTCTTTCAGTAAGAACATCTTCCAAAGACAGCCATCCTGAGTCACTGGCGTACAGGTTTGGGATAGCGTTCACACCCTAGCATTCAAATGAAGGCTGCTTCTATGGAGACTGGCTTTGGGGAAAGGAGGAGGTGTGCCCCAGAGGACTGACAGAACCCTTTCTCCATTCCACCGTCTAGCAAAGCTGTAAAATCTCTCTTACTGCAGGGTTCAAAAGCAAGTAGACTAAAGCTAAATTTTCATTTCCAGCTTCCAGCATGTACAAAAATCCATGTACTTTCTGTAAAGACAAAAATTTCTGTAATTTGAGTTGTCCATGTTATAATTTTTCACACTACATTGATTGTATGAATGACATGTCAACCTTCCTGCTTCTCCGGCCCATCTTTCTGTAGACATAGTGTTGTTCTATGGATTGACCTATAAAGTGACTCAGTACGTTATGTCTCTTTCCTTTTTAATTCCTCTCTCCAGTCTCCCACAGCCACCACTTGGTCTGCGGCAGATGCAGATTCTTTTTCCATTTAGTGTCTTGCAGAGGATGCATCCCCATCACGGGACTGATTGGTTTTCTCTTGCTGTTCCCTGGTTCCTTTTAAGTGAAGGCATGGTCTGGAGATTTGGCTCTTTTTCCAGAAGCCCTAGAAAATGTGCTGAGAGAACATTACCTCTGCGAAACTGGTGGTGCTGACGTTACGTCTCAGCTCGCAGTGACAGTGTTCCTCTTCTGAAAACGGTGCTGCTATGGGCGTCACCCTGCCTGATGTCAAATAGCAGCAACAGGTTCATCCTCGCTTTTCTGGGGTTGCTATGGAGCTGAAGCCAGGACACGAATTTATTTCCCGGGGGTTATTTCTCAGGGGGCTGATCGTGTTTAGTGCAGATTGTGTAAATGAATCTTCACACGTAGAGCTGTTTCAATCCAGAACCGATGCTGAGCCCACAGATTTATTTATTCGTTAGAAATTTGGCTGAAGGACAATTTCAGTGTAGTCTAAATAAAAATCTCAAGGAGATGCTGGGCAGCCCTTTCTGTTCTCCTTTCCAATACCTTCCACAGTGTTTTGTGTGCAGGGTGAACTGTGTGCATTGTGATATATTGTTGACTCATCACTGCAATGCTATTAAAGAGATAACCAAGCAGTCACATGGCAAGCTGCCAGCCTTCTTTTCATGATCTGTGGTTTTTGTTCGAACCCTAATAATTCAGCTATACTTATTTGTAAATATAAAAACAAAAAAGCTGGACATTAGCTCTGAGGAGTTCAGTTTCTAGTATGGTTTCTTTCCTCTCCATCCTCTTCCGACAATACAAATATACAAGAAAAGTAACTAAACCAGAGGAAATGTAAGACATAACAGGTGGCAGGACTCAGCTGACTTTGGCTGATCTCAGAAAACCTAAGCAGGATTGGAGCTGCTTAACAGTTTGATGGAGAAGACCAGGAAACCCCAGGGTGTAGAATAGGCTGGGAAACTGAAGAAGATCCAAGAGAAAGACAGCGAAAACACTTCTGCATTGTGCAAAGAATATAACACAGACAAATCCACATAACCACAAGAAGCTGAGATAGACTGAAAGAAGAGATATCTTTTAAAATATCTGATACATTGTACCCCAAAGGGACTTCAATATTTTGCTATAGTTTCCCTTCATTTAGAGTCTTTTCGGTATTGTGTGCTATTCCCAGAATTCCCAGCTAACATGGACTGCTTTCATGATGTCTCATAAATCAGATGATAATTAAGAACTGTGTGGTGAAAAGCTTAAGTAAATAACTCCTTGTTGATCTAGCCATCCAAGGACTGTTGTCCTTATGCTTGATTAAACTATGCATATGGATGCATATCTCTCAAGTAGAGCTGTGTTCATCCATTGTAGTTCTTGATGCCAAACAAGACGCTAAGCTCATTGTCTTCATATGCAGAGAACAAAATCTGATTGTTGCCCGGCTTCCTCTTCAGACAGAGCTCTGAGTTACTTTTTCTTCAGCAGCACCAGGGGGCGCTCTTATAGGCACCAAGCCTGTCCTCTGTCAGATGCGAGTAAGCCCCAACATACACAAACCCTCACAAGATTTGTATTGAGCAGAGGAACCTGCATGGCTGCTTGTGAATGGGGTGGGTGGGGATTCCGAAGCCATCTGTCTCAACCCAGCAAAGGGCTTTCAAGGGGAGCTTAATCACCAGCTGTGCTCTTTCACTGGTGGAGGGGGGGAGAGTCGGTAAAATGGCAAGTTGACGTGATGAGCATAATTACCTTGCAGGGGCTGGAAGAAGTCAAGAACCCAAGTTTGTGGCTTATTGATATAGTTTCATACTGTTCCCCTTGCCAAAAGGCGTGAAATGATCCTTGATTCATTTTCCTCACCTTGGTTCATTAAGCATGAGACCAAAAAATGGCTGGCTCACTCTGTGGCAGTGATTGAGGTGTGGAGGAGAAGAAAGAGAAAGCGGCTATCTTTTTGGTCACCCAGATGGGGTGGTATTTCTTTTGGACTTCCAGCACGCTTTGCCTTGGAGAAAGAGTAGAGGGTCTAGTCAATTCCTGGGTGATTTTGAGCCAGTCCTTCTCTCTCAACCCAGCCTACCTCATACAGTTATGGTGGTGATGGAAACAGGAGGAGGGAGTGCCGTTTATGCCACTTTGAGCTCTTGAATTAAAGGCAAGATATAAATCTAATATGGTACAAAATCATTTTCAATCTTGGCCATAGTACAGATTTATAAATACAGTAGCTCACCCTGGTCATCCGTGGTGCATAAGAATTGCCTGTGGTAAGTAATGGATTAAAAGTCATGCAAACAAATGAGATCATGCAGGCTATTAAAAACTCTGGTCTACTCCTTGTGCATGTTTGTAAGATTGTCAGGATGTTTTCAATCAGAGATTGCACAAGCCCCGAAGAGCTTGTTGCAGCACATGCATGGAGTCCCAGATTCAGCTTCCATTTGAGGAACAGCAAGGCTGGAGAAGACTTGGCTGCCTAAGAGATTGGAAAATTGCTGCTTCTACCTGCAGGGATTCTTGGTTGGATAGATCGGAAGCCTGCTTTGGTATAAGGCCGTGGTGGCGAACCTATAGCACTTGTGCCACAGGTGGCATGCAGAGCCTTCTCTGTGGGCACACGCACTGTCACCCCAGTCCTAGGCCTTCAGCTGGGTTTTATAAAACCTTTTCGCTTTAGGCGTTTGCCATCGTGTGCAAAAAAAAAAAAAAGTTCAATCAATCAGTCAATTTCAACTGGAAAAAAAGATCTTGCAAAGTTGGAATTGATTGATTGAACTTTTTAGTCCCACCCAATCTGCAGTTACCACCGAAGCCACACCCACCCAATGGGCCACACCCACCCGGCACCCGATGATACATAAGTGGGTTTTGGGTTGCAGTTTGGGCACTCAGTCTCTAAAAGGTTCGCCATCACTGGTATAAGGCAACCTTAGGCATTTGGAGTGAATATGTTTGGGAACAGAGAAAATACTAGCAAGGCAAAAACGATTTGATATGGTAAAGAGAAAGAAAGGGGAGAAGCAGAAAGGAAGGTCACCTCCATGGGATTCTGGTGCTTCTGAGATAGTCAAA